AGAGACACTGTTCAAGCAGAGAGGGAAGGATAAGGTGAAATGCCAGGAGAGGCAAAAAGTGGAGGGTTAGTTAGAGTTACCTTTATGTAACATGGCGTTCTTTCCAAATATGTAAAAGGAGTTCTTTAAAAAAAAATGCATTTCCAATGTGTCCAGCACTATTGTGGGTGGTAATATTCAGTAAGAAAGTTGTTGGAATGAATACCTACTCATTTTGAATCTTAGATTTATCCAAGTGAATGGTGAAAACATGGGATTTGTAATGAGGATACCTGGATTCAGGGCCTGGCTAAGTGACCTTGAGCCAGCCATTTCCACTCAAGCCCTGCTCTGTCTCCTCACAGGGCTGGTTTGAGGGTCAAATGAGAGAGTGTATCTTTCCCTATAAGATGGCATGCCTCTTTCATCACTTTACCTTGCCCTTCCTTCCCTTAAACACCCTGAAACTTTGGCTTAAGCACCCCTTTAATGTTTTCTTCTTTCATGGAGGTAACCTTGGAAAGTATTGTAGAAGAGACTATGAATCAACTGTTATTTTTAGCTGAGGAAGTTGAGATTTTGGTTGAGAGTTTGGAGTTAAGCAGCAGGACAAAATATTTTCACCACACCAAACAGGAGAGAACGTGGAAGAAACATCCTAGTTGCTTAAGTCAAGAAAGGGTTGAATGTAATTAGAGAACAGATGCAATGAACTTTAATAGCTGTACAGTATAGTAAAAATGAGAACTGTCTTTATCTCTGGACACTGTGAAATTCACATAGGTCTTGTGTGTTTACAGACCTGACCGTCCTTTACCAGCCATTTGCCATCAAGTCAAGTCCAACTCATGGGGAGCCCACGTGTGTCAGGGTGGAGCTGTGCTCCAGAGGTGAGGGGGGTCTCCAAGCCTGTCTTCAGAGATGTCTCTGGGGAGACTTGAACCTCTGCCCTTGCAGTGAGCAGCTGAGCAGGTTAGCCATTTGTACTACTCAGAAATTCCATATGTAGAGCACAGGGTATGGATTAAGCTTTCAGTAGACAGTTTCCTTCCTTTTTAGTATCTAATACATAAGTTATACTTCCCTCCTGGAAGTGGTAGTTTTATCATATTCTAAGGTAGTGTGAGTTTGGATGCCAAAAAAAAAAAAAAAAAGTTAGAATGTCAGCTTTAAGAAATACAAAGGAGAGATGGTTTGTAAGACGGAATTTACTTAGAAGCTGAGTCTCGTGGCTACGCTGCAGCTTTATTGGTGGGAATGGAAATACTTGTGCCTTAGAGGCAAGCCACTTGCGCCCAGATAAAGTGAACAAACCTGGACTGGCTTGCATTGCTTTGTTCTTTGATGATGTAACTTACATAAGAATCTCTGCTTTGTTGGTTTGTAATTTCTGTGAGTATGTGAATACTATATGTCCCACTTAGCTTTATTCTATGCACTTTATCATTTCCCTCAGTGATCTCCAAACTGGATGGATGTACATGCTCTGGGAGTTGCACTAGCAATCCCTAGAAGGGGAAGAAAATATTAGAGCTTTGATTTACTCGTCTAAAAATAAAGGAAAGCATTTCGTTTTGGTCCTTAATACTGGCAGTTGGAGGCCTGGTGGCATAGTGGCCAAGCACTCGACTGCTAGGCGGAAGGTCGGCTGTTTCAGCCCACCGGCCGCTCTGCAGGAGAAAGGTGTGGCTGTCTGCATCCGTAAACATTCCAGCCTTCCAGAGCCTGTGGAGCAGGGCTGCTCTTCTGCTCTGTCCTATGTGGCCACTGTGAGTTGAAATCCAGTCAACAGCTTTGGGTTTGGGTGTTTTCGTTATTGGCAATAACCACCTGCCAGGATCTCCTTGTCACATATAGTACACCAGGTATCCCAAGGAAGGAATAGGAGGTCTTCCTCAACTTAGAGGGCTGGGCATAGTGCCCTCACTTAAAGTTTAAAAATTTACTTGAAGTTAATATAGTTGGTGTGTTTGTGCTTACATTATGTAGGGTTAACTAAACCAACTCTCACAAAATGGTGGCTTGATATAATTCCTATCTAGGAACTGCAAATTGAAGGTAATACAGTAATATGAGTACATGTGACATGCACACACACACACACAATGGCAGAGCTGATACCCCCTCCCTACTAGAACATGTGCCATGCTTCATGGAAAAAAACAGTGATCAACCAATCTAACCTCACAAAAATGGATCCTTAAATAATCAGAAAGATGTTTGCATGATGCAGTTGTATACACAGTGATAAACAACACACCTTATTTGCTGTAAGTGTACATTGTACTGATGATAATGTAAAGGCTTTGTGATTAGTGATGCATTTGGTAACTGCTTACTCAGATTATTTTTAATGATACTGTTTTAATGAATTCAAAAAAGTTTGGTAAATAGTTTTGTAGTTTTTAAATATAATTTACTTTGTCTTTATCTCATGCTGTTAAACTTCTTTTTTAATGTTTTATAATATATGTAAGTATTAGTGCTACACTATATTACGTAATTTATAAAATTAGAACCCAGACTGGAAGTACATCCTACTGCCAGTGTGCACAATAAAAGTTTGGAGACCTCTGGTCTGCATTCTGGACATGGTCAAAGTCATGTGGAGAGTCTGATTTGGAAGGTGTCTGGCTGGGCCCTTGGAGCAGGATCTTCACAGACCTTCCTGGCTACTTTTGATTATCACCCATATTTGAGAAGTACTCCTGGTCTACCTCATCTACTACGTAAGCCACAAATCATTGTCCACGCATGAAATGTCAGCCTTGAGTAAATATTAAGGTGGAAGAAACAAACTGGAAACCTATCTGTGGGATGTATGAGATCTCTCTACTTTTCCATTGGTATTTGTCATTTCTTAGGATGCTCTTAACAGCTATCTTCTTACTCTTAAAGTTTTTTTCTCTTTGAATAATTTTGGTCAAAGAAACAGAAATGTTATTTGGAACAGTATGAAATTGCTAATATGTGAACATGCATTACCTACAAATACAGCAATTTGTATGGTGACCCCCATTTTTCTCAGAGGAATTTGTGTTTAATATCTATAAAGATAGTTACATAAGAGGCAACGATTTTGCATCCTTCTTATTGCATGTTTTTAAATAATTTAATATAGCTGTTACATATGTTTTCTATTATGTGTCTTTCCTCAAAGATTTATTCACTGTATTACAAAAATCTGTTTAGTACCTGCTGCATATAAGCTCTGTGAACAGAAGTTTATCCCAGTGTTCCCCAAAGAGTTTAAAATCTGCCTTGGCAAAAATAAAACCCATGGGCATACATTGAAAATCCATCGTTTGTGGACAAAGTAAGCAACTTGCAAAGAAGATGGTAGTAACAAACAGCTTGAGATAAAGAAATGATTTAATCTAGAATCAAAATCAGCATTAACAGCCATAGGTGCCTTTGCACGCATTGCCACAGAGTCTGAGGCACACTCTTGTTAATGGTCCCTGGCTCCAGCTGGGTCCTTCACTTTCCAGAACAAATGCATTTCTATGCCCCTTTCCACTGGAATGGTTAAGGGGAAAGATAATGTACTCTTGAACAATTAATATTTAAGAGAGTAATCTTAAAAGTTAAAAAAAAAAGTTTGCAAAGATTGTTCTTATTTTCTTTTTCCTTTAAAATAGAAAACATAAAGATGTTCAACTTTTAGAAAATATAAGTGAACTATATATTTGCATATGTGAATATAGACACTTAAGTTGTTAATTTTCTTGAGTAAAAGGGGTCTATAGTCTCATTGATTTATTAACATTATGGTTTTAAAAGGAGCTCTGGTGACGAAGTGCGAAAGGCATTTGACTGCTAACCAGAAAGCTGGCGGTTCAAACCTACCAGCCACTCCTCAGAAGGAAAGTTGGGCAATCTACTTCCATAATGATACCACCTTGGAAGCCCAACAAGGCGTCACTATGAGTCGGATACGACTCAATGGCAGTGAGTTTGCTTTGTTTTTTTGGTAAAAGGAAGGTTGAGCAATCTACTTCTGTAGTGATAACCACCTCAGAAACCCAAAGAGGGCTCTCTATGAATCGAGTATGACTCGACAGCAGTGAGTTGGTTTGTTTTTTTGGTAGAAGGAAGGTCGGGCAACCTACTTCTGTAGTGATACCACCTCAGAAAGCCAAAGAGGGCTCGCTATGAATCAAGTCCGACTCGACGGCAGTGTGGTAGTGTGTTAATGGTTTTCAAAATGATTTGCTAAAATGTGATAACATTCTTTTAGTTTTTAATGACAAATATTAGGGACAGTGTTATTTCCAGGATGCTTACTACATAGTTCTAGCTGTGCTGTGACATGAAACACAAGTAATGACAGCCCACTGTGTTAGCCCTGTTGGTGTGGTGCCTAAGGCACTTGACTGCTAACCAGAAAGCTGGTGGTTCAAACCCACCAGCCACTCCTCGGAAGGAAAATTGGGCAATCTGCTTCTGTAGAAATAACACCTAGGAGACCCAAGAAGGGGCCACTATGAGTCGAATTAACTTGACAGCAGTAAGTTTTTTGTTTTTTTGTTTTTGCTTTTGTTTTAAGTTGGTGTTAGCCCTGGTGCTCAGGGATAAGGGTGATGTGGAAAAATTAGATGGTAATCCCCAAACATCATTTTAGCCATTAGCTTCAGATACCTTCTTATGAAGCCCTTTCTGAGAGCTACCTTTAAGCCTCAAAATTGACAGGTTTTAGCTCGAGCTTTCTTTTCCCACTTGCTGATGGGTGCTGTTCTCTAAATACTAGGTAAGTGCAGGGTGAGGTAGCACAAGGAGGAACAGGCTTCAGGAGGCTGCCTTGTTCACAGAATGGAAAGGAGCCCTGAACGAGCAGGGGTTGACTGATTCAGCCTTCAAATCCTGTATATCAGGGATTGCATTTAGAGGAGCTAGTAGATTAAAAGCCAGGTCACTCTGGAAATGGAATTACAATGATGTGACTACCATGGGAGGAAAACAGCCACCAGAAATACATTTCATGCATCTGCTTAGTTAAGATATACCACTTTGCATTCCAGGTGATCACCTTCTTCAGCTCAAGATTGCTGCAGGCTGGAGCTGAGCTGTCAGTGGAACGGGTCCTGGAAATCATCAAGCAGGGGGTTGTTGCACTGCCCAAAGACAGGCTAAAGGTAAGACTGGGTGAAGAAGTGTTCAGCTGACACATACTGTTACATTGCTTGGTGTAAATATTTGTGTCTGAACCAGCTCTATTGAGAATCATATTGCTGACCCAATGCTCATGCTAGAAAAGGCCCATTAAATATTACCTGCTGTACTATATACAGTGACACCCAGAACTTTGATGGAGGTTTGTGATGGTTTTTCAAAAGAAAATAGCCAGAGGAGTAGCATCTTGTGTCCCCTGCATATCCAGGCAGCAACCACTGCATGTGCCATGAGCAATTGATGCACTAGAAATAAAGAGGCACCCTTTTCTATTTCTTACCTGTTGAAACAAAGTCAGTCTTGCAAGTATTATCAGAGGAGCCCTGGTGCCACAGTGGTTAAGTACTCAGCTGCCAACCCAGAGGTCAGCAGATTGAACCCACCATCCACTCAATGGGAGAAAAATGTGGCAGACTGCTTCCATAAAGATTTACACCCTCAGAAATATTATGGGACAGTTCTGCTCTGTGGGGTCTCTATGACTTGGAATTGACTCAACAGCAATGGGTTGAGTTTTTAAGTATTACCAAAGGTTGATGGGGAAGCTGATGATGGTAATCGTGATGATGACAACCATGGTGACAATGGTTAACACATAGATTTTACTTGGTACCATGCAGGGTTCTAAGTGTCTTAAACTTACATCAACTCATTCAGTCCTCAACTCTGAGATAGGTAGTAGTATCATTCTAACTTTTCTGATGAGGAAGCTGATACACAGAGAGGTCAAGTAGGGGAGGCAGACCCAGGCAGCTGGCTCCAAATCCAGTGCTCGTAATTGCCACACCATTTACTGTATGTCTGTGACATAGCAGAGGAAGCATTTCAGGGAACAGGTAGGGAGGGGAACTAGCACTGTGTGTGAAGAAGGGCTTTACATTTGTGTGGTGGATGGATTCTGAAAGTGATCTGAGGGTATAAAACTCATGCTTCAGGGCTAACTTCCCACAGGAAAAAATGTAAAGTAAAAGGGATATTTTGGGGGATGCATGAATGTGCAGCATTGTGGCATATTTTTGTGGCATACTTGAATATTTCTTTTACTTTTGTTTTCTTTGTTAGATCTCATTGTTCTAGATGACTCTGTCCTAAGTTGACAGCCCAGCCTATTACAGTGGCTGTTTGGCCTTTTACATAGTGTTTTATCACAATTGACTTCTGTCCAGAGTAACTGTTTGGGTCTGTGTTTTTCAGCACTATCACTAGTACCACTGCTTAATGAACACTTTGGAGATATTGTTTCAAAATATAAAAATATTTTCAGTTATAATAACATGGTTTGTACCATAGCACCCCATGAGTCATCACACTCAGCTGCAGAGGTTCCTCCGTTCGTAAACAGCAGGGAGACACAGTGCTGACCAGAGGCGGCAGGTATTTCTGTCAGCTGAAGTGGCACCACCATGTGGCAGGAGCATAAAAACAGACTACAGCTCACTGGACCCTCCATTTGACACTGTGCTATTGCTGGCAGTTTTTTTAAATGTAGAGGATTCATATTCTTTCCACTTTTACATAAAGTAAGACTTTGGGGGAGGGCACTATTTCAAATTTACATAAGCTATCCTCCTTACTCAACACAACCAGTATGAAGATCCTTGGAAATTCTAGTGATTGCTTACAGGAAATGATGGATCTTGATGTTTAGTTGACTCAAGAAGGAACGGAAGATAATCCGGAACCTGTCCAAAAGGGATAAAGCAAGAGTCAGGGGAGGGGCATTTTGATAAGATCAAAGGACTGGCCTAGTGGAAGTCATGCAGATTGTGATTAGGGAGCAGTGTGTTTAGACTTCAGGTTTCAAAAGTGGAGCAGATCTAGGAGATAATACAGTCTGGATCTGGCCATGAGTGTGGGGACTGAAATGGCATGGAGGTGAATGAAAGTCCATGTGATTGAGCCAGTTAATGGACAAGGAGCCTAGGAGGAGTCAGTCAGTCACATAGGTTTCATAGTCATCCAGAATGATGACAAGCCAGGAGGTACAGAAAGACTGTGAACCAGATGTGACTGCAGATGCCTTAGGCACTACGCCACCAAAGCTCCTGTGAATGTAAGAGGTACTTAAAAGTCAGTAGGTGGCAGCTACCAGGAAGAGAAGAGGCTAGTACTAGCCTGAGCCTCGTAAGCAAAGTAGAGCTTTTTGCTTAGGGGGAAAGGAGTAATAACCAGGGAAAAGCAATGAGAGCAAAGGGGACATCAGCCCCACTTCCAGACCCTGAAGGCTGTGGAGTGGGAGAGAATGAGCAGCCTCTGTTTCCGAAGGCTGCAGGGGAATTGGAGTCCTGAAGGGAGAGCCAAATTTCAGTTCAAGCAGATATGGAGAGAAGATCAGCAGTGCAAAAACTGACCATGTAGGGACACTAATAACCAAGAAGTAGGGGTTCAGTGAAGCACTGTGGAAAGGTACCAGAGGGAGGGACACAGCAGGAGGTTGGATCAAGGACAAGAAAGCACAAAGCAGATGGGGACAAATACAGGAGAGAATAGATGGCTGGTAGGGCTTATTCCTGAGGCAGTGACCAATGATGATGAAGACATATGACACTAAGCTTGCCACAAGATTTCATCAGTAAGTAAATGTCTATCAAGTCTGTGCTCTGTGGCAGGCACTGTTACAGGTACTTGGGATACGTCAGTGAACAGATCTGTCCTCACAGTCTAGGAGGAGGAGACAGACAGTAGGCAACAAGCACAGTAAATAACAAAATTGCCCAGTGCCGTGGAACGTGGTAAGTGTTACAGAAAATAAACAACAGGTGGAGTGGGTTAAGGAGGATCACTGAGGGTATGTGGGAGGAAGTTGTAGAATTAAGAAGAATGGTCTGGGCAACTTTTGGCAAAGATAAGAAGGAGGTGAGGGAGTGAAGCATGCTGATGTTGGAGGAGAGTTCCAGGCAGTAAGAACAGCCACTGAGAAGGTCCTCAGCCAAGAACATGCCAGGCATGTTGGAAGAATGGCAAGGAGGCTGAAAGCTGGAATTGCATGAACAAGGGAGAGTGAGTAGTAGAAGATAGACAAAGATGATTGGTGGAGCTGGGGGTAGGGAGGTCAGATCATTCAGCAGAGCCTTGTAGGCCATTTCCAAAGTGGTTAGGGAACCAGTGCAAGATTCTGAGAAGAGTGGCATGATGCAGTTTGCATTTTGATAGGCTCTCTCTGGCTGCCGTGTTGAGAATTGACAGAAAACAAAGCAGAGACTAGTGCTTAACTTTGGCCTTGGGAGAGGAGCTTGAGAAATCCAACTCCCCTTAGGAGATGGCTGCAGTCTACATTGATGGCCAAAGCTCCAGAGAATGGTCACTAGAGTATAATTTCTGAGGGAGTGGTTAGAGAACTGGTGTTCAAGTGTTGGAAGAGTTGTTCATGGAAGCAGATTTAGACTTCTGTGTGGTCTCAATGAACGGGACAATTTGGTAAACTTCTTTAGGTTGGTTAACTGAGTCTCTGGTTAGAAGCTTGTCTCTGGTTTGCTAGGTGATCTTTGGCTCAGTAGTATGTTGTGAGTCAGTATGCAGCTAAAGTAGAGAGTCTGCCTGTGCTAGACTCTTCAGACAAATTTTTGGATGCCACACCTTAAGACGATCTAGAAAACTTTCAGAGAATCACTAAAATTGTAAAGGAATGCAGGGAATGGTAACAGGAACTCACTCCATTGTTATTACCCTTGAGAAGATAAGATTCAAGCAGAAGAGACTTGTCAAGTATTGGCAGAATTGTTTATGGAAACAGATTTGGGTATGTTCTGTGCAGTCTCAAAAGATAGGACTAGGACCAATGGGTGGAAGCTTCATACAGGGAAATGCATTTCAGTTCCATATGAGGAAGAAGTTTCTAAAGATGGAACTATTTAGAGATAGAATGGGCAAATTTTGGGAAGGGAGCAGTCACTCTCACTGAATGGCCACTTGGCAGAGGTGAAGTAGGCTCCATCTTAGAATACAGCGTGTATCTATTGGTACTAGCTGGCTAGAGCAGTGCATGGAGAAGGATTCTAAGGTTGAGTTCCGGTTCAGCAGGAACAGTGTTCACATCCATTCGCAATGTCTGCCACTGGCAATACCAGCAGAAAGTAAGGAGCCCTTGGGCAGTAATTTACCAACCAAACATAGACATCCAAACATTGCTTGAGAAATCCAACTAAGTGACTTTTAAGGACCTTTCCATTCCTGAGAGTCTAATTCTTCTAGGATGTAACCCACAACCCTGCTGGAGATACTCTAGGACATGTAGTTCCCAGACTTTCAGCCCCTGCAGCACAGGAGAAGGTATAAAAGGGGTAGAATGGTGCTTGAGCTGCCAACAGACAATATGGCATGACAACAATAAAAACAAATGAAGCTATAGGAGAAGTTCTGTGACAAGCATGGATTTTAAAAGAACATGTGCAAGAGATAGAGTATGTTTGGAGGCCAAATATAATGGAATGGCATGAACTTATACAAATGTTGTCAGAAGACTCAAATTAGAATCAAACCCACCCATTGCCATCAAGTCAGTTCAGACTCTTAGTGACCCTTACTGGGTTTCCAAGGCTATAAATCTTTACAGAAGTAGATTGTCTCATCTTCCTCCCTGCGAGCAGCTGGTAGGTTTGAACCACTGACCTTCTCACTGGCAGCCAGATGCCACCAGAGTGCCTTCAAATTAAAATCGTTAGACTTGAATTAACCCATGCCATGGGGCCATGGGTAGAAATTGGACTCAGACAGGTTCAACCTGAGGAAATGCTTTCTGATGACTGAAGTTGTTTAGCATCTCCCGATATGATATACTGAGAAGGACACTGCATCACTTCTGTGGTAATTTTGCCAAATATGCATAATTTTAATCTAATCATCAGAAAACCCACCTTGATATACATTCAACAAAATAAACATGACTATCAAAACAACATGATTAGGATAGAGTGAGAGAAAATTGTAGAACAAATTGCAAAATCATAGAAAGGATCAGGCTTAT